ACGTCAAACAGTTTACAATTGAGGGCAAAATGTCCGAAACAGATATCGCGGTCACCAAAACACCTGATATTCAACGCAAGACACCGAAAGCCAAAACATTTCGCAGTGAAAATACCGCAGAAATGCTAAACTCAATGTTGAAAAAGGATCGCTCGCTTGGAGTGCCTAAAGTGGTCACCACTTTAGCCGACGGCGACGACAACACCCCTATTGATACTCAAAGTCGATGTCCGGCGAGTTCTTCGTCTAATAAAGAAGTTGTTGTTTCCATACTTAAGACAGACGACGAAGACTTTCAATCATTCTTTGCCATTGAATCGAAAACTAACGGAACTAATGAGACAATCACTGATGAATCGTTGGATAAGATCGGTGTCGGAGTATCTGATCTGTAAGTGTTGTCACATTTGTCACAACTTTTGATAACTTATTTAAGCGTTTATAATATTATAAGGAGTGAATGCATTGCTATCAGTCATTGTATTGCATAACAATTAGGGTGAATTAAAATTAGCTTTTTAAAATAATTGACATTCAGGTATCATTCTCTGTGGTAATTACCATTTAAATGTAACTAGTTTAGTAAGTTTATTGTGTATTGTGCATATTTAGGCAATTGAAACTTATTTGTTAGTTATTTAAATTTTAAATAATAATTATTTGTAATTTAAAATTATTAAATGTTTGTTATTTATTATTTTTCTATAAATAATTAAAATTGAATGCAATTTACAGATTAGTGCAAAAGAGAGCTGCAGTTCGGCCCCAATCGAGGCGAAGGACTTCAGCCAATCCTATCCGAAGCCTATGCGCCAGAACTGACTTTACGGTCGAGTCTTATATTGAAACCGAAAACAATAACAATGAAAGTAATGGCAAAACAGACAGCGCTTTGAAACCAAAGAAAACCAAAGATTTAGTGAAATCGTCATCATTTGCGGCGTCGGCTTTGGCCGGTTTGGCCAGTCGTGAGGACTTTAAGGCAGTCGCCGGCAAATTGCGTAACTCTAGCGCTTCGGCCAGAGATAGTTGGAAGAGCTATGATATGCCGAACTCAATGCAGAGCCTAATGTTGGTTCAGATCAAAGGCCGCCGTCGGGCGCAGACACGGCTCGTCGAGCCGGACATCAAGTCTATGAATGGCGGCGACTGTTATATACTGGTCGCCAGAGACCACATCTTTGTGTGGATCGGACTCTTCGCGAACGTCATCGAGAGAACCAAAGCTCTGGAAGTGGCGAATCAGATACAGGAGAAGAAGGATCTGTGCTTTCGATCGTCCAGTAGTTTAGGTGTAATTGATTACCAAAAACCGGAATCCATTTCTACAAAAATTCGCGATTTATTCCTAAAGCAATTGAACGCTAAAACAATGGACTCAATCAGTCCTCCCGGCGCTCCCGACGAGGACGAGCTCTACGAGGACACCATCATTGGTACAAATATGATATATCATGTAAATAACGAACAATTGGTTCCGTACGAAGAATACTGGGGTCGAGTGCCGCGACACGAGATGCTCGACTCCCAGCAGTGCTATGTCTTCGATATGGGATCAGAGATGTATGTGTGGGTCGGCAATAGGGCGGCGGCTGTGGAGCGCCGGTGCGCTCTCGACTCGGCTAAAGAGCTCTGGAATAAGGGATACGATTACACCGAATGCGATGTCAATCCGTTCGGAATGAATGCCACGAAACGCGAAGACCGACGCCCGCAGTGGTCGTGGTTTACGAAAGTGAGCCAAAACATGGAATCTATTCTTTTCAAAGACAAGTTCTTGAACTGGCCGTCGATTCCGTCGCCAAAGACTGGCATTATATTGTCGGCCGACTCGCTGTCCAAACGCCGCAATAGCCCTAAAGATATTTATTCTGATCTGAACTTCTGTCCAATCGATGCCAAAGTGATTATCGGATGGGAAGCGCCCGAACCGGACATGATGTTAGAGACGGCTCATTTGGGACGCGGCGTCCGGTGGGACGACGAGCTCGAGGGCCGACACATAACCATCACTTCGTTGGACGTGAAGTGTTGGCAAATCAGCGAATACGAGAAGCACGAGTTGACCGCTCCGGACATGTTTTACTTCTATTCGGGCGACACTTATGTCGTGCGATGGCATTACCGACTGTCACGTGTGGGCCGGCAGTTGAAAACGGGTGACCCGTCGCGACACTCGATGATCGGACGCGACCGCAACTGTTACTTCTTTTGGCACGGATTGCACACTAAGAACACAGAAAAGGGCGCCTCAGCTCTCATGACCATTGAGTTGGACAAAGAGAAAGCACAACAAGTATTGGATACCGATTTTTGATCATATTTTGTGTTTAATTTTAAAAACTAACACTTATTTCCCACTGTCTTTCAAACTTCTCATTTGCTTTACTCTCTATTTCTAACTGCGATGCATAGCATTTAAGGCAAGCTTTGAAGTAATAATTGTTATCTAATTCTGTATCCAATCTAATACTGAATTCATTTAAAAGTATTTGTTGTTTAAATGATTTTGTTATCCATAGGTTCGGGTGTCAGAGCACAGGGAAGAGCCGTGTTTTCTCAATATATTCAAAGGCTCTTTTGTCATATTGAGGGGTAAGAGAGGCCACACATGTGCTAAAGACAAGTGGCGAATGTTTTACGTGAGGGGTGTTGTGCCAAATGAGGCCACTCTTGTTGAGGTCGAGACCCGAGCGCAGAGTTTGCGAAGCCGTACGGCATTCGCGTTCATCAATGCATCGGTACATACGATATACGTGTGGATCGGATGCAAATGTCTGGACCAGACCAGAGAAGTGATGCAAAAAGCCATTGAAAATCTCATTAATCATAAATCGTGTGAATTGAGTCTCAAAGCGGATGTCAATTACGTGACCAAAGAGTTCGCTGAGGGAAGTGAAGGCAAAGAGTTTTGGGATGTATTTGGAAGCCACGGGTTGCCAACAAAACGGCTGTACTATTCTTTGGTCGACAGTCCGCTGACCTTCGACTACACGCCGCGACTCTTTCACATGACCTCATCGTCGGGCGAATTCACGGCCAAAGAGATACTCTGTTCGTATCGAAGCGGACATAACGTCACTCCATATCCATTCACTCAGGAGGACGTGTATAGCGCACAACAGCCGACCTTTTTCTAGTGCTAAAGACAAGTGGCGAATGTTTTACGTGAGGGGTGTTGTGCCAAATGAGGCCACTCTTGTTGAGGTGGAGACCAGAGCGCAGAGTTTGCGAAGCCGTACGGCATTCGCGTTCATCAATGCATCCGTACATACGATTTACGTGTGGATCGGATGTAAATGTCTGGACCAGACCAGAGAAGTGATGCAAAAAGCCATTGAAAATCTCATTAATCATAAATCGTGTGAATTGAGTCTCAAAGCGGATGTCAATTATGTGACCAAAGAGTTCGCTGAGGGAAGTGAAGGCAAAGAGTTTTGGGATGTATTTGGAAGCCACGGGTTGCCAACAAAACGTCTGTACTATTCTTCGGTCGACAGTCCGCTGACCTTCGACTACACGCCGCGACTCTTTCATATGACCTCATCGTCGGGCGAATTCACGGCCAAAGAGATACTCTGTTCGTATCGAAGCGGACATAACGTCACTCCATATCCATTCACTCAGGAGGACGTGTATAGCGCACAACAGCCGACCTTTTTCTTACTCGATAATCACAACCAAATATTTTTATGGGAATCAAAGTATGGTTTCGGTAAAGACGTTACCGAAGATACTGAGGCCAACGCCGCCACCGGTTCGCAGAATATCCGCTGGAATGCTGAGCGCAAGTGTGCGCTCGACTCCGCACTCGCCTATTGTTTCGGTACTTTTGTTGCGAATCTAATCATTCGTTCACAACTAATCCCTGTATTAATTGATTTGCAACTTATAGCCAAAAACAGCGCAGAGCCGCCAAACGGGTTTGTGGTCTGTGCGGGACTCGAACCCGACTCCTTCTGCGGACTATTCCCGCAGTGGATGTATAGGGAAGATGTGGCAGACCTTCACAAACAGGTATTGATTTACAACCAATTGTTTTCTTATCTAAATCTAAAACAATTGATTGCAACGACAGGACGGCCGCAAACCGGGAGAAATGTTAGCCATTCAGGAGGTATTGTCTCAATACAGGTCGCAATACAGTCTTGAAGAGTTGCGCCGAAGACCACTTCCGGAAGGGCTGAACGCTCTGTGTCTCGAGTCTTACTTAGGAGTCGAAGAATTTCAAGTAATTTTCTCACATATTATTTGAAATTTGTGCTCATTTTTGATGACATATTTCATGTTTAATGTATTTGTTTATAAAATTGATGACAATTTGTGTGTTTATTGACTGTTAGGAAGCACTGGGAATGTCAAGAGAGGACTTCTATTGTCTGCCGGTTTGGAGACAAACACATCTCAAACAAAAAGCAAATCTCTTCTAACCATCGATTGATAACACGATTGTTAATATTGTATTCAATGAAAAGTTGCATTTCCTGTGCATTCCTAATGTCTTTAATGTTTTCTAAACGCATAAATCAAACGCAAAAATATATATAATTGTGTAAAAAACACGCAAAACATATGAAACGAATTGAAAGTTAAGTTAAGCTGTGATTCGCAAAAACCTTTAAGAAACAAAATCTCTGCCTTTTATTGTATAAAAATATAATATAAATTGTATTTTTGAATTAACGCTCAAATATTTAATAATTAATAAGTGGTTTAATTTGAAAGTGTTTTTAAATCAATTTTTAAAAGTAATAATAATATATTAATAGTATTATATATATTAATAATATTATGATATTTAATTGCATTTCATGTAAGATAACAAACAATTGATTTAATTTTGTTTTATTTTAGAGAGTATTAAAAATTTAATTTATTAATCAATGATTGAATTATTTATAACTTTATAATATTTGGTAAAATATAAGAGCTATATGGTACAATTAAAAATTGGATTATATTATACAGTAGAATGACCAAGGTTATAGGATACGCACTCCAATTGGCTTAGTATTCAAAGGAATTGATTTTCATAAATAATCTTAAATGTCGGCCATTCAGAGAATGAGATCAATAGATAGAGACCATAGATTTCGAGTGTGAGGTTAACTATTCATGTGATATAACCAGGAGTGATCAAATAGGCTGAAAAGCTAGACTGGCAACACTATGCTCCATAGAAAATACATAAGAGCAATGCTCGCCAATGCTCAATTATGCTCTCTTTGCTCTTCTATGGATATAACCATAACTGATATAAATTAGAGAAAAAGTAATTTTACTATGACGTGGTTACTATACTATAAGCCGATCCGGCAAAATTGTGTAAAATCCAGCAATCCAATGAAGGTGGTTCTAAGTTATTATTATACTTTGACATTTCCTCTACAGAATAGCATACCCGCCCCCTCCCGACCCCCTTTTCAACTTGGCAAAAACCATGACATTTCGAAATGACCCAAAAATCTATATGATCTAGTCACGTGATTTCAATAATTTTTTCTACAAAAATACTAGATATATGGACCAACACATTACAGTTTACAGATTTGATATAGCTTCTTTCGTTTGACCAAAAATCTATATGATCTAGTCACGTGATTTCAATAATTTTTTCTACAAAAATACTAGATATATGGACCAACACATTACAGTTTACAGATTTGATCTAGCTCCCTTTGTTTGAAAGATATAAAGATTTCTGAGGCGACAATAGATAATGACGGACTGGATAACATTGCCATTGAAACCCATTGAACACTGTTATTGGAAAAATATAACATCGTAATTAAATTATATTAAATTCATTAATAAGTTTTAATAATTTATTTGATTATACGATGCTTAAGCATGTACAGGGCTATGTTTTAAGCTAATTAAAGTTATACACATATCTCATTTGGTCATCAGTTGACCACAATTTATATCTTATTTTCCCAATTTTGAGGAAGATAAAGAAAGTAATTAAGATTCTTTATTTTCCTGGAAGATATAAAGCTTTGGAAGAAAACGATGAACCTTACATATACATAATATCGTTTACGAAAATATACAAAAGTACTTTAAAAATTTTTCCCTGAATTTTTTTGTTATGATACCAGTTCTGTCCTGAACTAATCGAGTCCTGTCTTGTCTTTTTCCTGTCACAATGCTGAAATATTTTCCTGTCCGGTCACGTTCCTGTTCAAGAACAGGACAGGACAAGAATCAAGACTCCAATTTGGAAGTCTATAGTGTAATTGAATAGTTCTTTTCGTATAATATATACAAACAAATTTTAGAAAGTGTTCAAAATCTTCATAAATCTAAGCCACCGATCAGTCATCGGATTCTCAAACCCGACAATATATTAATTTCAGCCATCATTCAATCCAATCGTATCGTCAAACTGTGTAACGTTGGTTTGGCTACCGATCACAACATCGACGGCCAGACAGACAGTCAATATATCAATTAACTCCCATTCTGATCGTAATTATCGGTCATCGATATAGCAAAGTTCATTTATTTCCTTAATGAAATGAATGGTTTCTGTTACGACCACTATTTTTGTTTTGCAATTTTTAACACTAAGTAGGAAATGTTGTGAATGTCCCCTAACTGATCTAGTCGTGGTTGATATGTTCATGTCCAGTATTGTATGAAGATTCATAAACAATCGTCAGAATATGCGAATGGCCAGAATCACCGAAGTTATGACCAAATTTTTAGTAACTTGCATACGCCTTATAGCAATATAGTTGTAATGAATGGCATTACTCATGTGAAGCGCCAAATTTTAATGCATTGAGGCCTATGCAAATGGTTAGAAATTTGGCCATAACTTCGGTGATTGTGGTCATTCGCACGTTCTGACGTTTATGAATCTTTATACAATACTGGACATGACCATACCAACCACGACTGGATCAGTTAGGGTACCTTCACAGCATTTCCTACTAAGCCATCAATGCAGAGAATGACTTACCATGTTATTTGATAAAGAAATAGCTGAAGTACAACGCGGTGCAAAACTATTGATTTCTGTATAACTATTATAACTTTTAATCTAGATCATATTTAGAGCTAAAATTTTGAATACTTATGTCATTATATCTATATTTTGAATTTAACAAATAATCAATTTTTAATATGGTGTTAATCCCGCGCTAAGTTATTTCAAACAAGGCATGTGGTCATTTAAAAACATAAGGTCAGAGCTTTACATGTTATAGCGTCATAGCATATTAAGTGTACCATTAAGTTTTTTAATTAGTTTTGATCTTTTTTCTTAATTAAACCCGATTTTTGTTGTTTAGCTTTAATTTATTTGATGGATAATTGTTTAGTGAAACACAATGTTTAGTTCTATGATGTTTTTCAAGGCATAGAAAACATTATTAGTAAAATATTGACCAATTTAGACCTTGATTGATTTTTTAATTGTTTAAACTTTTAAAATGATTAAATTTGACAATAATAGTTATTAATTAAATTTTTAGCAAATCATGGCATATATATTTTTAAAGGTGTTTTGTTAAGCTTTAAATCAATATATAATTGAGTGATCTAGACCCAATATTTATATTTTTAAAAATTATTTAAGTTACACCATATGAAAATCAATAGTTTTGCACCGCGTTGTACATAGTGGGAAATACTGTGAAAATACATATAGCGTGTTATTGTGAACAAAAAAACTGCCGTAATGAGTCGTTACAAATAATACAGTTATTTTAAAAATTCAATTCTTTATTAGAGAATAATCATTTATAAATTAATTGCATAATTTGAACATGATTACATTAAAAAACATAAATTAGTGTTTATTATTTTTATCAGCAAAAGCTTCGGGGATGGGTCCTTTTACTAATTTTTGTGAAATGCAGCCTAACTCTTTTTTGTCCTTCAGTAAAACACATCGGCCATCGCAATTAACCGTGGCGTCAACACTGCCCATATCCCATGAACCATTCAGCTCTCCTTTCTTCTGTTTTTTGTTGGTGCTTTTAGGTGTGACCTTTTTACCGGGTATTTTTTTTGGAATACAAATTACTTCTCTGTCGCTCATTAATAAACATTTGCCTTTGCAATCAATCATGGCTTCACCTCGGCCCATGTTCCAATCAATAGGTCTGTAGTTCCCTTCTCCGGGCTCTCTGTAGGCGCTTATCCATATCACGGCTACCATGCTCAACACGATAAGCACGCTAATTATTTTCATTTTTGTTACCGATTTAAAAGTAATCTTATATTTGTCGTTCAATATTATATACAGTCGACGTGGCAGCTGGTTCCATATAATAGTTTGTAATTTATTACATTATATAATATTAATATATTAATTAATTATATTAATTAAAATAAATTTTGTTATTTTTAAATTTCGTATTTAATCGCGTTTTATATGTTGTAACAGAACTTCCCTCACTAGCTATGGCTTTAATTTACAGAAATTGTTTTATACCTTTTTTTTGGTTAATCAAGTTTTTTTTAATTAAATTTGTCACTTTTATAATTATGTTTGGTGTACAGTTTTACTCCAGTGTATGCCATTGCAATGTTTAGGTATACCAGACTAGTCTTAGGCTAAATCCTAAACACTCTTATGTACGCTTATGACAGTTCCGGTTTTTACGAGCATTCATGCTGCGGGACCCGTAACTCGCTATATACTTCGTATATCGGACCCGAAGTATATAGCGGTCGATATAACCATAAATCAGACATTTATAGTCTCGCTATAATGGGTGGCGAACTCTTTAGTATCAATCTTCAGGGGTAAATGTTTCTAAAATTTTAGAATTTTTAAATTTTTAAAAGCGTTTCAATTATATTATGTATTGATTGAAAGCTCGCAATCATTTAAACCAACGATTTCTAAATTCAAGGCACGAATGCCTAAACTATATCCTATATTACAAGCAATGATGACGTATGGAAATGGAGACGTGTCGGCAAGTATTGGCCAAACCGGATGAGTGTTCAGTACAGCACAAGACTGTGGCCGTTGTTTATCAAAAGGATATTATTTCATTTTTAAAACACTTTTAAATAATAAATCAATTTTCTTTAAGATTATCATGTTGAACTTGATATATTATAAGCATGATCCATTGATTCGATCACTTTGTTACGACTTTACACAAATTAAGCTTTAATTGAAGATTAATTTCTAGTTTTATCAGTTAAGTTACTGTACATGCTTAAAATACTTATCCTTGTCTGACTTATTTTAATTAATTTGCTCAATTTTTAACAACGATTCATATATGAAGAATGTTGTTCATAGGATTGTTCGGCTCGTCCTCCCACCTTCCCCCCTCCGCCCCCGCTCTATGGTATTTAACATGGGATTACAGATTAAGTCTATGGCTATACTTTAACATGGGTAATGTTAAGTCTATGAGTAATGCCAAGTCTATGAGTAATGCTAAGTCTATGACATAGGATTAACATGGGTAATGCTAGGTCTATGTCAATGTAAAGTCAATGGGTAATGTTAAGTACATGGCAATGATAAGTCTATGGGTAATATGGGATAGATATTTGCGCTCTAAATGTCATTAATAACAAGTAACTTCAGAATTAAAACAAACAAAATAGCAATATTAACAAAGAAAATTACTAATAAAATAGAATAAATAACAACAATAACATTAGAAAATTTTCAAAATAGAAACAATTTAAACAAGTAAAATAACAATTTAAAATTTAGAAATATTTGTTTAAATCACATTTATTTCA